GGGTTTTAAAAATGGCGGCTCCCCGCTTATGCAAATGAAGCCCGGGAAATTCAAATCCCGGGCTTCATTTGCAAGTGCGGTATGCCTACATTACCCCGCTAGTTCGAACTACCGGGGTAGTGTAGACATACCCTAACTGTGTGGCAAATAAATATTATTTGCGTGCCTCCAATTGGTGCGCTCTCTTGGGTCTCTTTTGGCTGTGATCTATCCTACTACCCACATGCAACATACTATCCCCTTTGGCACTACTGGGGATTGCAAGTCATAAACCAGATATGCTTTAGTGATGGCACATTACTGATGTCACAACCAAACCATTCTCAGCTCCTGTCAGAACATTGTGTCCACTCAGGTCAGTTTCCCCGATCAGCCATGCAGGGCATATGAGAGGAAAGGGAGAGAAGGCTTTTTCCTAGGGCAGGCATAGTCCATGTCCATGAGGCAGCAGAGGGAATAACTGGATTGGAGGTGCATTCCCACTGCTGGATGGTGGTTTGCTCCTCACCCCCAGTGCAGTAATGTCAGATGAGTAGACAGAATCAAGTCCAGGACCATTTAGGGAATGAGGTAATACCTGGGAAATCATGATCTTGACATTTGATAGGCCCAACACCCATATCTTGGATTGAAAAACACAAGGCAGAGAAAAGGCCGCACACAAAACTGACCAGCACAAAGACAGACAGAGTTGACGATGGGTCATTGGGATTTATATTTCTCAGTCCATGGAAAAGTCTGAGATAGGGATGTTAAACAATTAACGGGTAAGCATGAGGCTACCTGTCTGCTAACTGCTTAACTGGCCCATTCTAGTTGCATCTGCTAACAGCCAGCTGCACCAGGCCAGAGCAACCCCAGTTGCAGGGGGGGCCAGCATGCTGGGTGGCGGGATCCCCCGGCCGTGGTGGGGTCTGCGGCAAGATCCCACAGCTATAGAGGGGCCAGGCAGCAGGACCTCCGTTAAAACGGTTAACCAATGAAGTGCTAGTCTTTAACCAGTTAACTGTTTTAACATCCCTAGTCTGAGGCTGTTGGCTGCCATGTCCTGAGTGGCCTGTAGCATGACTGGTTAAATTACTTTCAAGTCTTTCCATAAAGATTCAGGGTAAAAATTCATAGTCCTTGAACATGTTAGACTGTCTCTTGGTGGTAAAGCTGCCCAGTGTTTAATGGGTGCTCAGAGGTATCAGCGTTACCCTACATCACCATGTTTAGGTAACCCATCCCATGTACAGCCCAAGACCCTGTGTACCTACATTGGAGGCTGGCTAATGGAGAAGGACATACCGAATTATTTTCTTCCTTGACCTTGTAGGCCAGAGAAATTGTACAGTTAGGGCCAGCAGAGCTTGCGTTCCTCCTGGATGATCTTTGCCAAAAGCTGGAGCACATGCTGACACCAGCCGCTGCCAAAAGAGCCCCTTTCTTAAAGGTATGTACCACAGGCAGAGGTGGGGCCAGGTGCTGACTAGCCAGAGGGCTGGAGACTGAAATTCGCCCTCAGGACCAGGGGTCTGCGCTAGGCTTCAGGCCGAGGACACAAGGGTTGGACCGGGCTTGTGCCCGCTTTCCAGACAGGGCTGATTTGGAAAGATGCAGATTTGCAGGGCCCGATCCATCAGCCCCCAAAGGGCAAACTTCTTCTGTTCGCTCAGTCCTCCTGGGCATGCGTTTCGGTTTCTGAACCCAGCCACAGAGTCTTCACTGATGTCCTGGCACTGCTGTTGCCAGGCTTCCTTGGACGTATCTGCCCTTTCCTGTGAGGCCCCCGACTGGCCAGATCTGCCCGGGGCTCCTCTGCGCTTGAACAAGCCCTGGAGGCAGTCTTCTCAAGCTGCTGCCCTTTTATTCCCTCTTAACTGCTCTGGGGTCTCACCTTGGTTCTCTCCCATTGAGTGGGTCCCATCACAGCTGCTGGCACAATGCCCCAGTTTCATGCCTGGTGGTGTCACAGTTACCAGATGGACTGCGCCCCCGAGCCTGCCTGGTCTGGCCTAGTGCACCCCTTTTGGTTACACCTCCTCCCAGCTGGGGAGTGGCCGATGAGGCAGATAGCCCCTCGCTGGTGTGGCAGTGTCTCTCAGAAGCTACGTCTACACTGGCATGATTTTCCGGAAAAATTTAAGTTTTCCGTTAAAAGCATTTTTGGAAAATCGCGTCTAGATTGGCAGGACGCTTTTCCCCGTGGCCAATCTAGATGCGCTTTTCCACAAAAAAGCCCCGATCGCCCGAACAGGAGCAGCATAGTATTTCCGCAAAAGCGCTGACAATCTTACATGAGATCGTCAGTGCTTTTGCAGAAATTCAAGAGGCCAGTGTAGACAGCTGGCAAGTTTTTCCGCAAAAGCAGATGATTTTGCGGAAAACCTTGCCAGTCTAGACACAGTCAGAGAGTGGTTGCAGTCAAGCGGTGTAACTTTACGCACCGTGCTGCTATGCACATTTCCACAGGATAATGATGATCAGCAGATTGAGCTTTCCACTGGTACCTCACAAGGCATGCTTTGTACAGACGGTATCGTACCCGTGGGGCACAGGGTGTCGCCATGGAATCACTCGACAGTGATCCCCTCTGCCAGTCTGCTCAGACTCCGAGCTTACAGTTCTCCAGGGCACCCCTGCTGCCGGCAGGGACTGGGAGCGGCAGGGCCCCCTTGCCTGCAGTGGCTCTCCGCTCCCAAGGACCCTGCAGCTCCTGGCGGAAGGGAGGTAGGAGGAGTAAGGTCCACAGAGCCAATCCCTCCTGGAAACACACGGCTCGCCCAGAATAGAGATGGACATTGGCATTCCCGGGTGTGGATTTGTTGTTGGTAGGTGGGGGAGGAGACATTGTGGTGATCTCTTCTCACAGTGCATAGAACACAATCCATAATTCGGGGGGAGAGACTGTAATTGCCCTGACTGGAAGCCCTCTCAGCCGAGGGAATGGGGCACTACCCTGCATTCAGGACCTGACCATTCTAAATCTGCCGCCAAGCTGCAAGCAGGCCAAAGTGCCATTGTCAGGGCTCAACAAATAATGTAATGTACTCGCCTGTGGCGAGCAGATTACAACCCGGAAGAGCCAGCGCAGAGCGCAGAACCGCATGGCTGGCGGGCCCTGACCAATGTACTAGCTCTCTGGGCCCTAGTACATCATAAGAACAGCCAGGCTGGGTCAGACCAACGGTCTGTCTACCCCAGTGTCTGTCTGCCCACAGTGGCCAATGCCAGGTGCCCCAGAGGGAGGGAACACAAGGAATCCTCACGTGATCCCTCCCCGGTCACTCATTTCCAGACAAACAGAGGCTAGGGACACCATTCCTACCCATCCTGGCTAATAGCCATTGATGGACCAACCTCCATGAATCTATCTAGCTCTTTGTTGAACCCTGTTAAAGTCCTAGCCTTCACCACATCCTCTGGCAAGGAGGTCCACAGGTTAACACTGCGCTGAGCAAAGAAAAATTTCCTTTTGTTTGTTTTAAACCTGCTACCTATTAATTTCACTTGGTGACCCCCTAGTTCTTATATTGCGGGAATAAGTAAATAACTTTTCCGTATTCACTTTTTCCATGCCAGTCATGATTTTATAGACCTCCATCATATCCCCCCTTAGTCTCCTCTTTTCTAAACTAAACAGTCCAAATCTTTTTAATCTCTCTTCATATGGGACCTGTTCCAAACCCCTCATTATTTTTGTTGCCCTTCTCTGAGCCATCGGGAGAGGAAATGTTCTTGTAAGAATGACAAGTTTTCCTTATACAGACCAGAGAATGTCATGCTACCATAGTTAATATAACTGATGTTTGCATTCTGTCCTCCTTCAGACTGCATCTCACTGTTCCTTCACATGTTTGGCATAGTCTCTCACCTCTTACAGGTTGTGCATTCACAAAAGACGCCATCTCTTCCCCCTCTCACTTGCCCAATAGAATTCAATATTAGAAATGTTACAGTCATTTGGTCTCCTACTTGGTGCTCTCAGTCCCTGTGGCTGAGACTGTCTTGCACCTTGTGAACTGCACCATTGTGTCCTTAGTACTTGCGGAGTGAAACTGCACAATCCCCGTTAGTTGTGTTCTCTCGGTCAGGTGGTGCACTTGTGGCTTACTTTGAGCTCCTTATGTTAAGACTGAGCAAGTCACTTTAAATATTGGGATTTGCTGCAGGGGAAAGGCGGTAGAAACATTGGATTCTCTCATCTGGGTCGGAGGTCGTCTCAAGAAGTTGCCCAGTGTGCAGTGGAGCTGCTGAAACCGCTGTGTGATCATATGGAGAACATGCACAATTACTTCCAGGTCAGAAGGCAGCAAACTTGGTGCTTCACAATTGCCAAGGGTTTCTGATCGGATCTCGTTTAGTTTATGGAAATAGAGGGGCACTGCTGTACCGTACGTCTTGAAATAACATTTCATTAGCAGTTTGTTCTGTGTTCAAGGCACTAGCTACAGAAAACCATGGGGTGGTGGATGGACCACGAGTGAACATTCAGGAGCACCAGCTTATGTCTGCCTGTTACCAACAGCTGCTGCAGGCCTTTCACCTGCTGTTTGCTTGGTGAGTGTAAGGAGTGGTGTCTACAGAGGTGTATGTTTAAAAAAGCCCATTGATTGCTGTCTGTGTGTGTTCCCTCTTCATTGGCGGGCTCCTGTGGCAAACCGCATGTGCAGAACATCTACACATGTTCTATTACAACTGCTGTGCATTCGCTCAAGCTGTGTCTAATTCAAACTACAGAAGGGGTGACCCACCTGAGCCTGGGAAGGAGCCAGAAGTTACCAATGAACATTGCCGGAGCCACAGTAATATATCCGCAGCCCCCCTCAGCTCCTACCTTTGCCACCCCCGGCACCTGCCTCCTGTCGGCAGCCCCATGATCAACGCTTCCCCTTCTCCTCAGCTTCCACCCTGCTGCAATCAGCTGTTTGGAGGGAGGGGAGAAGGAAGGGCGCGGGCAGGCACATTGGGAAAGGGGCGGTGTGGGGGCAGGGCCTGGGGCAGAGCAGTGAGCACATCCTGGTGCAGTGCAAAGTTGGTGTCTGTCGCTCCAGTCCCAGAGTCGGCCCCAATGCAAACAGCCACATACTGACTTCTTCAGAAGTCCCACTGGTTGGCCACACTGCTACAGAGTTACCTGTAAGGTCTTGGATTGGAGCCAGAAGAGGTAGGACAGCTGTATGCTTTCCAATCTGCTTAGACATCTGAGAGTAGCTGAGACAGTCAGTTTGGCATGCACTAAAATATAAGTGATTAATGACAAACTTGAATAGTCCCCTAAAATATTTGAATGGGATTTCCAAGAGGGGGTGGGGGTGTGGGGGGGGTGTTGTTTTTCAATAAATCCCATCTTCTGAAGCTCTTAGTTTAGGTTATGAAGGAATGCCCTTTCTCATGCCAGGGGTACGCTCTGTGAGGCAGTGCCCACTGGACACCACCACGCTCATTGAGGCAAGGGTGTGAACTTTCACTGACCAGTTTTGTGTGTGTGTAAGTGTAATGCTTTTTGTGGCCTAAAAAGGCTAAAGCAATTTCATGTGACCCAAGTTCTTGTTTTTTTCAAGGATTCTCTCTTCTCTTCTGTTCCCATCGCTAGGACAGAGTTGCACACTTTTAATTTTCTTCTTGAAAATGGATTTCAAAGAGCTCCGTATCTTAGCCGCTGTGTCACTGACATTCATTTCTTCCCCTCTTCCAGTTTGTCATATTGATGACGTTCTGGGGCTCTTCTCTTTTTCCTCAGGAGTGGATTTTCTCAACGTGAAAATAGTGACTTGCTGAGGTCAGCCCTCAAGATTCTTGCAGACAGACTAAAGCCTGGAGAGACAGAATTTCTTCTTCTTGAGGATCTAATCAGGTAGGGTCAATGAAGGCAACAGTGCTGCAGCTTCAGAACTGTCACAGGAATAACATTCAAATGTTTCCTACATTTCCTGTAGGCGTTCCGCACAAGTGTGTGACAGACGAAACCAAGTCAGGGTCCCTGAGATTTTTAGGAAACGGGGCTTGATGCTCAGGGACAGCATAAATACACACACAGGTCTTGAAAGGGGAGGCACCTGAGCTCTATGAAATACTTGGAAACAGAGCCGAGAGCACCAGTCTGAGATGTTCTGAGAAGGCAGCGAAGGGTGCCTTGGTTAGAGGAGGGGCTTGAGAGCGTGTGTGTGAATCTCTTCTGGGTGCACACTCTTGGTCAAAAAGCAAACCGGGGGGGGGGGGGGGGCGGGGGGCGGGGGG